TACTACTGACATCATCCACAGAGGCAAGACTATGTAACAAATGTACCACTGACATCATTCACTGAGGCAAGGCTGTGTAACAAATGTACTACTGACACCATCTACAGAGGCAAGACTATGTAACCGATGTACTACTGACATCATCTACAGAGGCAAGACTATGTAACCAATGTACTACTGACATCATTCACTAAGGCAAGACTGTGTAACCAATGTACCACTGAACTCATCTACAGAGGCAAGACTATGTAACCGATGTACTACTGACATCATTCACTGAGGCAAGACTGTGTAACAAATGTACCACTGACATCATCCACAGAGACAAGACTATGTAACCAATGTACTACTGACATCATCCACAGAGGCAAGACTATGTAACACATGTACTACTGACATCATCTACAGAGGCAAGACTATGTAACCAATGTACTACTGACATCATCCACAGAGGCAAGACTGTGTAACAAATATACTACTGACATCATCTTCAGAGGCAAGACTATGTAACCGATGTACTACTGACATCAATCACCTGGGCAAGACTGTAACAAATGTACCACTGACATCATCTACAGAGGCAAGACTATTTAACCGATGTACTACTGACATCATTCACAGAGACAGGATTGTGTAACCGATATAATACTGATATCATCCACAGACACATGCCTGTGTTATGATGTACTACTGACATCATCCAGCCAGTATATATTGCTACGAACCTTGTTCATTTCTAGATCCTTGGGAAGTGAGTTATTTTGTGAATCACGCAGAGGTAAATGATTTGTATGAGTGGAGAGGCCCTTTTCCATGGCTGAACCACCGCCTGTATTGGCGCCTGAAGTTACAGGATATGCGGAAAATCCTCTGTCATTTTTTTTCAGTAAAACATTTGAGTGAACCTTTTCCTCACCAAGGAAGCTCAGCGATGTGTAGGGTGGCAGGTGGTGCAGAACCTGACAGCACTGACTTGGCTGAGGGTCTCATCAGAATCAGGACCAACCCATTTCAACAGCAAAGTGTCACCACCCAGCCTACTACAAACAAGGTACCAGATAGTATCCTGTCTTTTTTCACTCAACTACCTGGATGGGCTACTGAAAGGATGGGCTACCTGAAAGTCACCTTACCTATGTGACAACAGATGCTTGGCATCAGAAACAGCAAGTATTCTATACCAGGGTATGGTCCCTACAGGCCGCCACCAGCTGTGATTTACACCGGTCCTTAACTAACACTTAACTAGCCTTTTTTTCTGTAACATCCATGCCTGGCATATATATATATACATACATATATATATATATATATATATATATATATATATATATATATATATATATATGTATGTTTAACATACCACTAACTTTGTGACTGAACGATCTACATAGATCCAGAAGGTCCAGTGAACTGTTTCGTTTACTCTTGTGGTGCCAGTTGTCAACTCTGCAGCACAAGTCTACCTATGGACTGAGGGGAGGAGTCACTCAAGTTTGGTCTACAATAGCAAGTTAAGTATTGTGTTGAACCTGTAAGGTTACAGCCAACCGGAGACTCTGGGCCGCAGGTTTACTCTTACTATATATTACCCTCTGGACCATGATGAATTGGACCTTGTCATTGTTGGCGGTCCAGGAGATTTTCTTGTTTCTCAGAGATATTCTTGGTTTTACATGATGCATTGTTATTCTGAGAACAAATTTGTTTGTGTCTTGTATTTCACAGTTCACTAAAGTTAGGTCTTTATGTGTAGTTGTTATTCAGATTTCTTTGTGTGTGCTGTGTTGTGACTGTGATAGGGATCCTTTTCAGTGTGGGGGGCGTGGGGTTGGGGGGGGGGGGGGTTTGGGGAGAAAAAAGTGGCGAGGATGTCTAGCCAAGCTGTGCCCTAGAATTTCCTAGGTGCCAATAACTTGAGTTACCTCATCACTGCAGTGGTGTTGGATGGCTGTCAGAGCTGCAGATTTTGCTGTCTACACCAGTACGAGCCACCATCACACAATTTTGCCATTTAAAAATGTCTTATATAACCATAATTTAGACATGTGAGATAACCATCTTGTGGCACTGATTTTAGCTCGACAAAATGTTTGAGAACCTCTGACCTAGAGTATTCACAAAACATTCGTTGCATGTATTTGTTTCTAGATGTATACGAAACTAACAACTACTTAACCATTCAAAAGAAACAAATGCCAACAAACATTTTATAACGTTTCTTTATTAAATTTAAAATGCTTTCAGAAACACAACGATGGTTATTAAAAGAATGTATCATGATTTCAAAATTTAAAAAAAATTTTTTTTATTCATCAGTATGATCTCTACCACAAATTTCCAGTATGCTTTTAATAGAAGCCCTCACCCAAAAATAATCCCAAGTTAAGATAGTCAGCTAGGATCAGAGAATGGCCTGTCGGAACGCCGACGCCACTGGTGCGCACTTAATATAAATGGATTCTGACCGGATCAGGATTAGCAGAGTTATGAGAAGGTTCCAGAAGAAAAAATGACTGTTTTTGAATAAATGTTGAATTTTGCACCTGTGTAAATAAATGTTGATTTTTTTTTAACTGAAAAATATACCCATAAAATAAGCACAAGTAATATAAGACCAAGTATTATTTTCAGTGAAACTTTGTAAGCTTGTTCAAAGTTCATTATGACGATTTTAACGTAAACAGTAAACTTCGATTAACCAGTTTATGTTATCTGGAATCGTCTTTAAACACAAATTTGATGGAATACACTCTTGTCTGAACCTTTTGACGAAACTGAAGGAACTGAGTCTGTTAATGTTGACAAAATTGTGCATTAGTTTAGGGCTTAACGGTTACAACACTACGCCTGAAGAAGCAACAGATTCGTTGGAATGTGACAAAATGGATAGAGGTTTTATAATTTCGAACGGCGATTAAATTGTTTCTATTGTGACTACCATTGACTGATGTCGATGAGGGATCGGTTCTTAACCAAAAAACTACATCTAGCCACTGAGAGGCAGAATCAATGTTATCAAAATGCATTCACTGGATTGAAATGTAAGGAGAGGGCAAATGCAACGCAGACCCTACTTCTGAGTAAGATACAGAACATTGCCACTCAGGAAAATCGAGCCTCAGAGACACAGAAAGGGGTGACAGATTTTTTTAAAGGAACGTCATCATCATCAATTCTCTGTTTGCCAAGTGGCACATGAGGCTGCAGAGAGGACTTTCCATGATTTCCTGTCCTATGCAATCTTTAGTGCAGTTTTCCATGTCGGAGATGCCGCACTCAGGTCACTTTCTATAGTTTTTTCCAATAGGTTTTTGGGCGCCTCTTTTTTTCCACATCAGAGCTGTTTTGGCGGGTATATCAGGATTCAATCTCATAATGTGGCCAAGCCATTTCCATCTTCTCTTGGTTAACATACTGTCTAGAGTTTCTTGGTTTGTGACTTGAAGTTTTTAGTTTTTGAGATTATATTTGGTTAAAAGAACGTAGGTTTATTAAATTACAATACATTCCTGCATTGTGCTACTGTTATACTGAAGTTTTTATTGATCGTTTTGTAAAATTAAATACTATGTGCATGCATTATTCACTCGTAAAGAATTTTAGTTTCATTTTCGTCCCAAGCCTGCAATGAAATCACAGTATTGTTCGTGTGTATTCAGAGATTTATGTTACATTCCTGATCCTGAGAGTGACGGTTAATCAAACTTTTACTGTATTTAGTGTTTGTGTGCGATACTGGAGAGTGTGAGATATCATCATCATCATCATCATCATCTTATTCTGTTTACGTTAAATATACAATTCGTAATATATTCCTTCATTCCGTTCCACGCTGAATAATAATTTTGATATCATCGCGATGGATTCTAGTCCAGCAACGCAGACAGGAAGTCAGTTAATCAGCTCCGACATCTCTCATTGGTGTTCGTCATTATAATTCCCATGGGCGTCCTCGTTTTGTCCGTCTAATAGTTTCTAATTTCAGTGCCTGTTTGCGGATTCTCTGACAACTTCTCCTCGTGTTTGTGCCCAGTGTAAGTGTGAAACATCATCATCACCATCAGGTGTTTTGCCGACTAGCGTGGATGATCATGCTTCTCCACAATCTGCCATCTTTAACAGCATGGATCAGTGTGCTGACACTCCTCCATGCCACCACAAAAGTATGCCAGTTAATCATCGCGCGTTGTACCCCCCCCCCCCCTCCCCCAATCCCCTCTTTATAATTCTTTCGAGTTGACATAACATTTTCGAGTTTCTCACTTTTCATCACATGACCAGCAAAGGGTTATAAACTCTTTGTGATAAGGTGATAAGTTGTCGTCGATCACCCACCTCTTTCAAACTATTTGACTTGCTCTTTTTCGATGTCCAAGGAATTATAAGAATTCTTCTATCAAACCGAATCACCGGAGCCCCAAGAAATGTTTTCGCTTGTTTAATAAAAGTCCAAGATTCGCAGCTATATATATATATATATATATATATATATATATATATATATATATATATATATATATATATAAAGATAGGATAATAAAAATGTAGGATAGACATAGAACCATCGAATTACAAAATGTTTTTAAACTATAAATCTCTTGTATGTTGTATTAGTTTGTGTGCTGGCACTTCTCCAAGCCTAACACAAGTTTATCGTTGTCTTCCTCTGTCACTTTTCCCCCACAGAACTTTCCATTGGTCCCATCATCTGATGCTTGTGACAAGATGTTCTCCAGCCATCGCATGTTTCAAAACAAATGGTTTTTGCTTTTTTTGGGTGTCCAAGGAATTCTGAGAATTCTTCAGTAAAAACCCATTTCCAAGGTCTATAGAAATTAATTATTTAGCTTGTTTACTAAAAGTCCAGGATTCACAGCCATATACAAAAGCACAGGATAATGGAAACATTAGATAGACACAGAATCATGATAATAAAATGTTTTTGAAGTCGTAATCTTCTGTCGGCATAATTAGCCATGGATGTTTTTCCAGACCTACTAGATAAATCTCTTCCTCAACAGTTCAATTCCACGCTTCAGGAATTCGTCTGTGGATGAAAAAAGGAATATTAACGGTTAAGATGAATACATATTGGGCTGAAGATCACGCACATAAATATATAGCATGTAGCTTTTAGAAGCACATACTGTGCGAAAGATCCCCCGTGTAAATATGTAGGATTGGTAATTTGAGAAGCACATATTGTACTAACTCTCACTCCCGTAAATGTATAGCATTGAAGCATGTAATTTTAAGAAGCACATATTATGCTAAAGATTACTCACGTAAATATGTAGCTTTGAAGCATGTAATTTTGAAAAGTACAAATTATGCTAAAGATCACTCATGTAAATATTTTAGCATTGAAGAACGTAATTTTGAGAAGCACATTATGTTTAACAGTTTCAGAATCATCATCATTTGCCCTGGCAATAAGTGAGGGCAACCATTTTATTTTGTCACCTCACACTATCGATCACCAGAAAAACGGATTAGGTCAGCGCACGTCTTCCTCAATTCATGTTGCCGAGTCATATAGCTATTTATCTCTTTTGCTTCCCCATACTGTATTTCCTCCCATCAGGCCAAGCTACTGGGGTATTCCTTTTCAGAAATTGCTTTACTACTGACAATGTACGTGTAATTTCTTTAACCGGCCGAGGGCTTCTTCAATCTTGTATGTATTGTTATTATTATTATCGTTATCTTGGTGTAGCTGAAACCTGCAAATATATAAACAAATCCATCACCCAAGCCACCCGACAAGCACAAGACATATTCTGAAAACCACGACACTGAGCTACTACCTGGTATTAGTAAGACGACCAAAAAAAAAAAAAAAAAAAAAAGAAGAAAAAGCAGAAGAAGTTGAAGGGTTTTCGTCTGTCTTGATGAGGATATGTAACAGATTTTTTTCAGGTGTATGTAGTCAAAATCAAGTTCAGAATTATCAGAGGATGCATCTTTCCTCTATTAAGAAGGAATTTAAGTTGTGGAGGAGCTCGAGGTCTTTGAGAAAGAAAATCGTGGCTGTGGAATTAATTGATTAAAGAAGTGTCACAGATTTACAGACACATAAGGAAAAAAAATATACCGACCCCTTAAAAAGTCTGAACATCAAGAAAGAATGGCTAGCAAGCAGCATCTAAGTTTGTCACAGGATATGCAATACATTTTGAGTAGGAAAGTGCGTGAGGCCAAAGAGCCTGGCAAAGACCGAGTTTCATTCAGACAGAACGTGATAAGAGGAAAGTGCGTGAGGCGGGGGGGGGGGGGGGGGGGGGCCTGCCATAGATCGGGTTTCTTTCAGACAGACCGTGATGAAAGGAATGTGTGTGAGGCGGGAGAGCTAGCCATAGATCGAGTTTAACGCGGACCGTGATGAGAGGAAAGTGCGTGAGGCTGGAGAGCTGTCCATAGGTCGAGTTTAACACAGACCGACCCTGATGAGAGCGACGTTCTACAAACGACCTGCTGAATGATAATGATATGTAATCAACGTATTTATATGTTGCTTTTGAAAACCACCCATAAATCAAGTTTGATCTGTTTCTTCGAGCGATGAAAGCAATCCACTGACGACTTGCTGGGCCAGTCGCAGGTTAAGGACAAAAAAAAAAAAAAGGGGGGCGGTACTGACCTATCTGAATCCATTCACTGAGGCAAGTTAGAGCACCTGTTGCCATGGTACCAAAGAATCATGATGAGATGAGATGAGATATAAATCAACATGACACTCACGGAAATGTGTAGTCTACATACTAATACATAGATTCGAACACAAAATGATATTTAACAGTTTACTTACGCGAGCCCTCCTCGGGACACTGAAGTTCAGAAAACATTGGACCAAGTCTGTCGTAGATTTCGCTGACAAACACACCAGCTGCTTCTCCACACTGTTGAGTTGTTGATTGAATTCGGCAGCGTTGTGTGAGCACGATTTGCCTGAAAACAAAAGGAGTTGCAGGCTGAGGGTGGGCACACGGTGGTAACACAGGATATGGATGAGAGGGTACAAGGGAATCATAAGCTAAAGTAGGTTAAGTGCAGGATGACATGTTGTGAGATAGGACATGTTGTGAGATATGACATGTTGTGAGATAGGACATGTTGTGAGATAGAACATGTTGTGAGAGAGGGTATGTTGTGAGATAGGACATGTTGAGATAGAGGGGATGTTGTCAGAGAGGAAATGCTGTGAGAATAGACATGTCTGAAAAGACATGTTGTGCAAGAGTATATATTGTGAAAGAAGAGATTTTATGCGATAGGATATGTTGTGAGAGGGGATATGTTGTGAGAGGGTATATGCTGTGAGAGGGTATATGTTGAGAGAGGGTATCTGTTGTGAGAGCGGATATGTTGTGAGAAGGGGTATGTTGTGAGAGGGGGTATGCTGAGAGAGGGGATATGTTGTGAGAGGGGAAATGTTGTGAGAGGGGGTATGTTGTTAGAGGGGTATGTTGTGAGAGGGGTATGTTGTGAGAGGGTGTATGTTGTGAGAGGGTGTATGTTGTGAGAGGGTGTATGTTGTGAGAAGGATGTGTTGTGAGAGGGAATGTGTTGTAAGAGGGTATAAGTTGTGAGAGGGGACATGTTGTAAGAGGGGACATGTTATGAGAGGGGAATGTTGTGAGAGAGGGGTATACTGAGAGAGAGGGGTATGCTGAGAGAGGGGATATGTTGTGAGAGTGGATGTGTTGTGAGAGGGTGTATGTTGTGAGAGGGGATGTGTTGTGAGAGGGGATATGTTGTGAGAGGGGGTATGCTGAGAGAGGGGATATGTTGTGAGAGGGTGTATGTTGTGAGAGTGGATGTGTTGTGAGAGGGGATGGTTTGTGAGAGGGGATGTGTTGTAAGAGAGTATATGTTATGAGAGGGGATGTGTTGGGAGAGGGGATGTGTTGTGAGAGGAGATGCGTTGTGAGAGGGGATGTGTTGTGAGAGGGGATATGTTGTGAGAATAGATATGTTGTGAGAGGGGATATGTTGTGAGTGGAGATATGTTGAATATAAAGATACATGCAGAATTCGCAAAAAATATTATCTGGCAGCAATAAAGTGTGCTTTATTATAATCCTACCCCAAACAGGAAAAATCCTTAGGTCATGGGAGCGTCCAACATTTCAGGGGGTGGTAGATAGGCTGCATGTAGACGTGGGACATAGGCAGCACTGTCTCGTGGGACATAGGTGGTTTCAGGTAAGGACCAGTTCTAGATGTTTTGGGGTCGGTAAAAGCATCAGAAAGCCGGGAAACCCAGTCTTACCACTCTCTGAAATGTTGGACTGTCCTGTGACGTCATCTGGGATCAGATATTAATAAAGAACAGCAATTAATTTACGAATAGAACAGGTAAAATTTGGAGTTAAAAATCTACCCAAAGTATTTCAGGATCCTTGCCGGTGACACAGAGTCTGTGCACTGTGCTGAGCTTTTTCGGACCAGACTTGAGTTATAAGAAGAAACAGAGCAATTATGGGTTACATCCCTGTGCCATGATGTTGCCCTATAGTTGAAAACCTCAGACCTACCTCCAGTGTTATATTACAAGTATCATGACTTACTGACAGGGATCAAGGTTTGCAGCTCCTTCTCCATTTGCCGATTCAGCAATGCAGAGCTCGACGGCAGCCTGAAGCTCATAGGCTTTCAAGGAGTCTGTCAAGCACACCGACTTTCGCACTTCTCGCAGTACTGGAAATAAAGTTAACAAATAACACGTGAAATTGATTTTATTTGATTCAAGAACCGACATCACAGCATTTGGGGCATTCCTATAAGAGCGCCGTCTTTATCTTCAGCAGAGTTCCGATACTAACGGTGCCAGCAGCATTCTGATTAAACATCTGTCTTGCCTTTCCTCTGAGCCTCGAGCATCTGCCAGAACCTCTCGTCACTCCCCCCTGCAGCAATCTCACCAGACTGGTAATCCAACCGCTCCTCCGAACTGTACACGATCTCCCACAAGGCACTAACTTCGTCTGCCTTATCACGTATCAGTATTCTATCAAGTTGTGCAGAGCCAGCCAGTCTGTCCGCCTGTTTTTTTCCCTGCACACCGGCGTCCCCCGGTGAAAAAATCCAGACAATACTCCTCACTCGTGTCCTCCGCAGCGAAGCATGCCACTCTGCACGAAGCATACCTGTTCTGATCTTCCTCAGCATGCTTTCTGAATCAGTTACAATCACGATGTGTGTGTGTGTGTGTGTGTGTGTGTGTGTGTGTGTAGTGTGTGTGAGTGTGTCGTGTTCTCTAGCCAGCGGAAAGCTGCAGTGACCTCCCCAACCTCTATTCTTAAGCTGGATGTTGTGGTATCATATGCTAAGTTCTTTTGCACCAAATGACGACCATTAACTTTTGCTAAGAAGCTCCTAACACTTCTTTTGCCTCTTGACACTGAACCGTATGTGTAAATGATCAAATCCTCTGACCGAGCATTATCTTAAATTATTTATTTACTGAATTTCCATCTCCGTGGCACCTAATGGGCAGTCTCTGCATTCCCGGCTCAGTTTGATTATGACCCTACACAAGTCTGACTGTTCAGGTGGCACTTTGACCCACTCCTCTCCTCGCCTAATGTTCTCAAAGTTGCAAACAGGTATGATTGTGTCATCTGCCTGAGCTATCCATGACTTCCCCGTTATAACCCGCGGACCCTTAACTGCACCCACAGCTTCCTGCAAAGACTGGTCTGTGTCTGCAGCTACCCTGAGATATGTCTTTGCCTGCAGCAGCGTGTGCCTACCTGCAACAGTCGGCAAACCAAGGATGTATCGCAAACACATCACTGGAGTGTCTCTGTGACAACCCAGAAAGACTCGCATAGCTGCGTTCTATATGCGCTATAGTTTGTCCATCTGACTCTTCGAGTTCCTGGCCATAATCAACCACTGACAGGATCAGGTGCTGATATAGTGTGAAAAGCATTCTCTGCTCAATGTCAATTGCAGCCATAGTCTTAAGTGCAGTAAGTCCTTTTTTGAGCTTGTCACAACACTCTCCACATGGTCCTGTCAAATGTAATTCCAAGATACATCAATTTGCTGAAACTACAGTGTCGTACTATCTCAGGTTATGGCCTCTGTTTCTTCAAACGTTCATCGATCTTTACCAGTAGCAGCAGGAGCAAAAGAAAAAGAAGAAGAAGAAGAAGAAGAAGAAGAAGAAGAAGAAGAAGAAGAAGAAGAAGAAGAAGAAGAAGAAGAAGAAGAAGAAGTAGAAGAAGAAGAAGAAGAAGAAGAAGAAGAAGAAGAAGAAGAAGAAGAAGGAGAAAAAGAAGAAGAAAAAGAAGAAAAAGAAGAAGAAGAAGAAGAAGAAGAAGAAGAAGAAGAAGAAGAAGAAGAAGAAGAAGAAGAAGAAGAAGAAGAAGAAGAAGAAGAAGAAGAAGAAGAAGAAGAAGAAGAGGAAGAAGGAAATGGTGGAAGAAAATGATGAAGATAATATTGATAATAATAATATTAAAAATAAAATAATAATAATAAGAAGAAGCAGAAGCAGACGAGACTTACAGGATCGCCCTCTCTCACTGCAGAAAAAATCTCCAATAGAAAATGTCTGTTCCAATTCAGCGCGTAATCCTGGTCCACATTCGTCTAATGATGGTCTAATGCAGCTAGAAGCCTGTTCATACAATCTGCGAGATTATAATAAGAACAAAATAGAAGTTAGTGACTTTAACTGTAATTTTTGGATAACTATATAAATAAAACACTTATTTCTGAATTTATAAAAGCAAACTGGCAGGATGAGACGAAAAGAATAGATCATGGGATTGTTGGTGTCAGGCGTAGAAGATAGGACACACGAAGACGTGCCCCTGCAACTTGGCACCTGAAAATGCTGAGCAAATGCTCCAACACAGTATGCTGATAATAGAGACGCAATCTGACCTGTTCCACCCACGATGAAAACAATAATGTATGGCACACAAACAGATTTGGACTGCACAATAGCTTTCATATAGGCTAGAGGCCTCCTGATACACGTTTTCTGACAGAAGGATCAAAGAAGAAAATGGCGTAGAAGAAACGCAGTACACACATCATAAGTAATTATGAGTAGACAAGACAGCAACTTGTGGATGTAAGTTGTTGACTCTTACTCACTCATTGAAGCAGCCTAAAATGGGTACCAGGATGGGCTGTCCTGGGAAAGTAAAGACAGCCGGCGTAATGCTGACCACATAACCCACAAAGTGCTGATGGTCTGTAAAAATATGGGACGCTCTGCCCATATGCCCGATGCGCCGAAAGGCGTGAAAAGGGAACTTTACTTTTTTACACTCATTGAAGAGAAACAAAACCTGAGCTTTTGGAATGAAATGCTACAGAAAAGTTCTTAGAATACCATAGCCCAAGAATAACACAGAAATTCTAAGTGATCCGAGCATCACGGAGAATTAGCTTATAAACAGCATCCTGTTCTGAAAGCTCGACTATCTCGGCCGTTAAAGGTCATGGTGGCCTGCAGAGAGCGGTGATGGAGGTCACAGTTTCCTGAAAATGTTGATACAAGACATTGAAGATGCATTCGCCTTAATAGCACATTGGGTTGGAGAACTGGATTTACATATATGTACTTTCAGGCGTGCCGGGACGACAGCGGCGTTCTGTAAGAGACCTGGTGAATGATGATGATGAAACGAGACAGATTTGCCGTACCGGCGGGTCTACACGGAGGTCTAGTGCTGAGGTCTCCATCAGGACGGATTTCAAAGAATACACACACACACACACTGGTTTCCAGGTCGGCCTAGTCTAAAATGGGTACCAGGTAATGTTATGGGAAGTAAAGGCGACCGGGGTGATCACATCTGCTGACAAGTGCGAATTGGTCTGAAAAATATAGGTCTAGTCCTATATGACAAGTGCGCTTCAAGGCGTGGAAAAGGGCCCTTTAGCTTTTTTAACTTTTTTTAAAAATTACTTAACGTTATCTTACTTGACTTTCACGTTACTTCACCTTACTGTACCTGACCTTTTTTTACTTTTATTTATTTTATTTTACCTTACTATACTTTATCTTATTTTATCCTACTTTACTATAGTGTAGCTTACATTACTTTACCGTCTTTTAATTCACCTTATTTTATTTTTTTCTCACTTAACATTACCTTACTTTACCTAACCTAATTTTAACTTTACTTTTACTTTCCTTTGCTCTACTTTAAGATATGAACGATGCGCTAAAGCATGTAAAGCGTCCTTGTGGGGACTCAAGCAACCTTCATTCTCCAGGTGTGAACCGGCCGTCTGTGCCTACAAAGTCTGGGCATTGGGAAATCTATTGGTTGTGATGCCTGCTCTTTCCAATATCTCCGTGTCTGCGATCTTGTCTTTCCACTTGGATACAAGTGAAGGTATCACATGTGAACAGTATGTAGACGGATCTACTGAACAGATCTCTACTAGGATATAAAGATGTGTGCTAGCGTAACATGAATGATACAGGTATTGAGGGGTACTCGTGGCAACAAAATGCCATGGATGGGGTTGTGTGGAGGAGGCACATGAGGAAGCAATTTGGAAATGAAGGAAGAAATGACTGCAGAAAGGATGAAAGGGGAGGGTCTAAGAAGAAACAGAGTAAACACAAATGTTGACAACAGCCGTCCTGACATCGGATGCTGTACTTGCAGAAGACTTTTCTTAACGGGGGCAGGTCTTAATAGTCATCTAGCTAGATAGTTGGGTTATCATCATTGCACTCCTGACATGTCCTTAGGTGATCAGATTCTTCCCTTAGTATGAGCTCCAGCGTCCGGTGGCTAATAGTACCAGTTCTATGTTGATTAACACGTCCTTTGATGTGCCTGGTGTGCGTCTCGTTTTTTTTTTCCTATGCCGATCCTAACACCCAAGTCTATCATTCAGGCGAGTGGCGTAGACTCACTGCTCCGAAAATCCTCCACCCCTTCCATTTTCTCGGAGGGCATTGATAATATCAGCTTGATCCATAGGTTGCCCTTCGTTAGTGATAGCGGATACAGCCAACTTATCAGCTCTTTCATTTCCATCGACGTCTGCGTGTCCCGAAACGAAACTAAAGGTGACTTCACGTACAGTGAACTTCTGTAACGATTCAGCCCCTAGCTTTCGCACAGGACCTGCCTGAACCTCTGGATCATACTCATTGAATCACCGAGTACGCATGTGCTGGTGTATTTTTGTGTTTCAAGCCACGCGAACGCTTGTGTTACTTCCATCACCCCCACCGTGTCTTGCTAGTCACATTCGCCATCGCCATGGGCTGTGAGTCCTATCCCTCCTCATAGAGCAATATTATCATATCGTCTGGAAAGACGAAAAGGTGTAAATCAATCAATATTCCAAATAAAATAAGACATGCCATGAAAGTACCTTTTATGGATGCGAAAAGTTTTAAGAAGGGGGCTACGTGGTCTCAAGGCATGGAGTCCGCCTCATGTGTTAGAGGTTTCGGGTTCAATGCCAGGTAAGAGCTTGGATTTTTTCACGTGGACTTTAAACTTCTAGTAATTTACCCTGGTCTCCGGGTAGTGAGATCAGACGTCCGTGTGCATTGTTGCACACGTAAAAAATCCATTGGCAGTTGGAAATCGAAAAGAGTAGCCTAACGGCGCTGCCTGGGCAAAATCTGAAATTCAAAATCTACCCAAAGTATTTCAGGATCCTCGCTGGTGCTACACAGCCTGTGCACTGTGCTGAACTTCTTCGGACCCAGACTGGAATAAAAAGAAGAACGGAGCACTTATGGGTTACTACCCGTGTGCCATAATGTTGATCTGTTGTTCAAACTTTAAACCTAATAGTTTTTGAGAAACACATAAAAATTACTCTGAGCACATCTTATCTACATGTAAAATACTTACGAGCAAATCTCATCAGTATGTAATATCAAGGTGATAAAGATATGGTTGCCTTCACTGAGAAGCGGGTTACCGTGGAAGGGTGCCATACAGGAAGCAAGTTTATTATGACAGCTCGTTTCATGGCGATTGGGTGGCAACGGGTCGCTTTCACGTTTGAAACTCGGTATGAAACATTCTAAAATAAAATAGAAACATTGCGAGCAAGTTTAGATTGTTATAGAATACCAAGAAGTGATAAACATTTACAATGGCTTTATTATGGCTCAGGGTGTGCTGTGCGCACAGATGATGGTTTAAATGATTGGTGCAGTTGAAACTGTACTGAAAAAGGGACGTACTTTATCTCCTCTTTATCAGTAGCTACTGACTGCGTGATAAAACAGTTTTGTATAGTAAATACCGACATCATATCGATGAAAAACACTTGATTAACGAATCTAGCATGTGCAAATGATATTGGTCTGCAAAGTAAGAAGGACATGCAAAAATGTAAATTCATACGAGAAGCGAAACCACTGTTTCACGATAAAACAACCATGAACGACAAAATTTGGAACTAAGGAACCGATTGTAACGAAATTTTGGATACTCGTGACAGAGATCGGTGACGTAAAGGAAATACTTGTATCATTAATAAAGACTTTCAAAACTCGTGTTTTTTTTTCCAACTGAACGATATAAATTTTTTACCATGAAATCCTCTTGGTAGAGCTGTGAGATGTTGACTTTAGTTTCAGGGAGTAGTGTTAATAAGCCCACTAGGATGGGTTCAACAGGAAGTCAAAGCAAAACGATGTAATGTTACCATTTTCTTGTGGAAAGTTACATTGTTAGTGCACGGAACCTAAAACAAGACGTCGCCCGATGTTGTTTACTTAAAGGCGTGTCGACAAATTAGTTTTGAGTGATTATATTAAACAGTTGGCTTACCAAGGCTAACAAGAACATTAATTCTATAATGAAACTGAAGGTAGAAAATAATAACTATGCAGAAGGTTACCGTTTTAATGTAACAACATTTCTGCCGGAAATCTCATATGGGGAAGTTTGTATTGTGATATTCATGAACCAAAGATACGAGGGAAAAATGGGGACGCTTATATTGTGATATTCATGACCCAAAGATACGAGGGAAAAATGGGGACGCTTATATTGTGATATTCATGAACCAAAGATACGAGGGAAAAATGGGGACGCTTATATTGTGATATTCATGAACCAAAGATACGAGGGAAAAATGGGGACGCTTATATTGTGATATTCATGAACCAAAGATACGAGGGAAAAATGGGGACGCTTATATTGTGATATTCATGACCCAAAGATACGAGGAAAGAAAATTGCTCTTTGTCTGGATATAGCATCATTTATTATCAAGATACGCTTCTGGAAAAAAAAAATAATCGAACTTCAACTTGAAATTAACATGTTTGCTGTAAATTATAAAATTTCATTATACTTATTTACAGTGGTTCAAAAATATTAAATGATTAGGCTGATTAGTAAAAGCCTGAGCGCCTATGGACTACAGAAATTAATGAATATTCAGGCTGCAGGCAAAACATTATTGCTGTCCAACAGACAGTCCTCGAGAAAATCAATCGCAGATATGTTCGTGAATTGCTTACAGAACCGCTATAACATACGATGAAAACAGACAAACGATACAATTACAGCGAGGAATGCATAAAGTCACTGAGCATTACGGTAAAACCTTTCACAAAATATTCACCCACGCTGGAACTATTATGGAGCGGTTTATATCCGCGATTGTTGGTTACGGTAAAACCTTTCACAAAATATTCACCCACGCTAGAACTACTGAGTAGCGGTTTCTATCCGCGATTGTTGGTTACGGTAAAACCTTTCACAAAATAGTCACCCACGCGGGAACTAAATAGTAGCGGTTTCTGTCCGCGATTGTTTGGTTACGGTAAAACCTTTTACAAAATATTCACCCACGCTAGAACTATTGAGTAGCGGTTTCTGTCAGTGATTGTTGGTTACGGTAAAACCTTTCACAAAATATTCACCCACGCTAGAACTATTGAGTAGCGGTTTCTGTCCGCGATTGTTGGTTACGGTAAAACCTTTTACAAAATATTCACCCACGCTGAAACTATGTATGAAACTATAGAGCAGAGATTTCTATCCGCGATTGGGGGTTGAATAAGCAGCGGGCGGGAGGGGGGGGGGGGGGGTGAAGGGTGGGGTTGCAAGGAGGTTTCAAGGGCGAGTCAATCATTTTTTAAAGTGAGTGCATTTAAACTTGTATGCATCCGTTATATTTTTTGTTTTAGTTTAGTTACAAATAAAACATTTTAAAAAACTTTTTTCTTCAATAAAACGACAAGGACATTTTTTGTTTTGTTTTCATGAACAGTTTGTACATCTACCGGTGAACATCCAAGTAAGGTAATTTTACTCCACCAGGATATCACACAGAGTAATAACACACCCGATGACACAAAGTGCCACCATGTGGATGAAGATCACCCATGGAGAAGTCGCAGAAACCCCTTTTAACCGTTATGTTAAATTACAGTACCTGTCAACAACCAGGGTGGGGCTTCAAAATAACGAAAAATTTACACCTCACAAGGGGGTGACGATAATAGTATATTAAAAATATGATTCATGAAAACATACCTGATTAAGAGCGCATTGTAACCAAAACGTCTGTCCATACCTTCTGTTTTACTTGTTGCGAAATCTATTGTACTCTTTTTAATTACATTTTGTTTAGTTAAGGGAGGGTGCGGTTGGGGTTCCTTGCTATACACTCAAGGGGGCGTGTAGTAGTAGTTGTAGTAATTTTACCCCACCTGGACATCACACAAGCGATAAACACCCGATGACACAAAGTGCAACCATGTGGGTGAGGATCACAATGGAGAGGTCACAGAAACCGCGTTCAGTGATTAGACCATATTTATGGGCGTACTATATTGCGGTCCCTGCAAGAGCAAGACTTAAAAATAACGAAAATGTGCAGCCCACAAGGAGATGACTAGTTTGCACCCAAGAAAAATCAGGGAGGGGTGGGGTGGGATTCTTCCCACATAATGAAGGGGTCGCAACCCAGGGTCAAAACAAAGTTGGACCACTGCTGTAGAGGGTCTGCGGGGTGAGATGTTACGGTAATGGCAGTAACTTGAATTTGTTTTTAGATCAAACTTTTGGCCGTTAGCAGAGAGGGAACCTAGGAAACATTACTGCGATTACTGCTGAGAAACAAACGCAAGAACATCTAAAGAAATACATGTGATTTACATGTGATACCATCAGTAGTCGGATTAACAAATCAGTGAGCATTGAGCATCAATCAAAAAGTAAAAATTAAGTAAAGGACCCTTTTCCATTAGGCGTATAGGGCAAATAGGGCTAGACCTATATTTGTATAGACTATCGGCACAAGATGGGTGAAGTGGTCAGCATCACGCCGGCCGCCTTTACTTCCTGGGACTGCACCTCTGCACCCGGTACCCACTCAAGGCTGGGTCGACCTGGGAGCCAAGGTCATTTTTGAAAAAGTCCGGCTCTGCCAGGGAGCGAAAACAATCAAAAAGACAAATATATTAAAGGCACCGGTAAACAGATCAAACAGACGTCACATAAAAAAGTATCGTAATATTACCTCGTTATCCCCTTGTGCAATGCTATTTTTTTAGCCCCACCCCCTCCTTCTGCCAGGGTCCCTAAATATAGCCGGGCCCTAAATATGGCCTAACGGTTAAACGGGCTTTTCGAGACGTCCCCAATGGATGATCCTCATCCTTATGGTGGCACCTTGTGTCACCGGGTGTTTATCGCTTGTGTGATGTTCTGGTCGGGTACAACTTACCTACATACGTAAGGAATTATTCCCCCCCCCCCTACTGTATAGCTTTCCTCCCAGTGGAAGACGGAATTTTTCGTCATTTCAAGGCCCCACTCCGGCATTAGTTGGAGGCCCAAACATAGCCTAACAGTTGAACGGAGTATCTAGGACTTAGCCCTGGTGATCCTCATCCAAATGGTGGCACTTTGTGTCACCGTGTGTTAGTCGCTCGTTGTACGGTCGTGATAGGATTGAACAATTGATAGGCTACGTTACTTATTTAGGTAGCAAATATGATCGCCAAGAAAACACAGATAATACACGTAATGGCAAGGCAACAACAGCTTTTTATAAGTGTGGACTAAAATATGTTTTAAAACCAAGTTAGGTATTTGTAATCCTAATTGTATTTAAGTTGTAATATATGCCAGCGAGTAGATTAACCTAAAGACGCAGAATAAAAGTTAGATTGCTTCGAAAAGAATTGCCTGACAAAACTGATTAATATTAAACGGGATGAACTGAAGACAAGTGAAGAAGTAAGAGGAACGTTTGTACAGCCGTTTGTATCAACAGTTTGTATCAACAGTTTGTATCAACAGTTTGTATCAACAGTTTGTATCAACAGTTTGTATCAACAGTTTGTATCAACAGTTTGTATCAACAGTTTGTATCAACAGTTTGTATCAACAGTTTGTATCAACAGTTTGTATCAACAGTTTGTATCAACAGTTTGTATCAACAGTTTGTATCAACAGTTTGTATCAACAGTTTGTATCAACAGTTTGTATCAACAGTTTGTATCAACAGTTTTAAGACGCTAGCGTTTTTTCGGGCACATCCAGCAGCGAATCTGAAGGGGGAAGGAAATGAACTGAGGAGGTGGGGGAGTTCAGGAGAAACCCTGAGACGAACATTCTTGACAGATGCCAAAGGTGCTGTACTGGTTTTCATCTATGGCATCAAAGTAAATTTCATCATCATCATGTATTAGGTCCTTTGCAAAACGTCGCACTCATCACGGTCTGCCTGAAAGAAACCCCGTCTCTAGCCAGCTCTGCCGCCTCATGTACTTTCATACTCAAGGAGTCACTTATATCCTGTGCACATCTTCGTGTTGGTCGGCCCCTTCCCCTCTTTCCTGGTGCCATGCCTTTTGCGATTATTTTTTTCTAATCCATCTTTTAAGATAAAAGTATTTCTCCTCTTCTTTGTCTAAGATATTCTGAAAATCGTTCTATAGCATTTAGGCTCAAAAGCCCATTTTCTCGTTCCTAATGACTGGAAGATAGTCCACGACTCACATCCGTTTGTTGCTACAGGGAAGATGCATGCTCTCAAAATTCTAATTTGGATCTCCTTGATGGTGCTTAACCACAGACTTTTAATGCTGTGAAGTAAATTTACAGGAAAAAATATTCTTACCAGCGCTTTGCTATCAATGTCAAACATGGACACTGTTTTCAGAAGGCAGAATGAAAATAGTAGCGACAAATAGTCACCAAGTAAATGTAAGAGCAAATAATGAAGTATGTAGTATCACTTACCTGCTGCTACAAAAACAGCTGCAAGCACCACAAGGATTCGTCTCGAGGCTTCCATTTTATCTGGTCAAAATCTGTCTCTGTAAACCGCCAAATTCTTACAGGACGACACGATCTAAGAGACAAGAGCACATATTTGATTTTCCAGAAAACGAACAGATCTGTCTAATTCAAATAAGTGTATTTTTACTGACTACGACATTCATCATGTATATTTGTTCACCCTTCTTTAAACATTCGACACCATTTCCTAACCACACAAACAGTCATAACATCTTGCCCATAAACATCAATGAGTTGCCTGTGAATTTCTGCAGCACTGTTGTTTTTTGCTAAAAAAAAACGGATCTTAGCACGAAGATGGTGGGAGTATTTATTTTTGCACACATTATAAACCACTCACCAGTGAAAAAACAAAAACAAACTCACAACTAGCTAATGAACCACACACACACATACCTCATATGCACATTTACGTTTTCCATCCAAGTGTTTCGCTGCTGTTAAAAGGTTACTTACTTATAAAAACGTGTCTCAGATTTGAATATGGAAAACCATTTTAGTTAAAAAAAAAAACAATGAACACATGCAATAGTAACACTTACCAATGTGTGTTTCAAGCAACATTCAACTGTTCATGATGCTTTTATATATTATGTCACGGAAGCGATGACTGGAGCTGATTATCTCAAATGGGAGAAAGGTCAAAGGATAAGTGAAATCCTTTTGAAATATTAAATGTCACGAGGGACAATTGCTCACAGACTGGAATACTGCGGTGTACTGGTTTCCAGATTCCTTAACGCATATGTCACATGAAGTCGGGAAAGACACTGCAAGTGGGGGGTGGGGGGGGGGGGGGTGTGGGGAGAATAGAGAATATATGAGAATAAACACCATTTTCTGAATAATATAATCATCTGTTCATAGTTTTTCATAGTCATCAACAGGATAATAATTATATCAATGACACAATGAAGACATCAGCAACACAGTGAAGTCATCAACAGAATAATAATGATATCAACGACATAATGAAGACATCAGCAACACATTAAAGTCATCAACAGGATAATAATGATATCAACGACATAATTAGGACATCAGCAACACAGTGAAGTCATCAACAGGATAATAATGATATCAACGACATAATGAAGGCATAAGCAACATAACGAAGTCATCAACAGGATAATAATGATATCAACGACATAATTAGGACATCAGCAACATAATTAAGACATCTGTAACGTAACGAAGTAATCAGAAACACAGTGAATTGATCAGCAACATAATGAAGACATCAACATAATGAAGTAATTTACAGTATTACTAAGACATCAGTAATATAATAAAAACATTAGCAACATATTCAAGTAAGCAGCAACATAATAAACACATCAGCCACATAACTGAGTAATCGTCAACATCATAAAGTAATCAGCAACGTAGTGAAGTAATCAGCAACGTAATACAGTGGTCTGCAACATAATAAATACACCAACAACGTAATAAATACACCAACAACGTAATAAATACATAACAACGTAATAAAAAGATCAGCAGCATAGTGAAGCAATCAGCAACATAATTAAATAATCCGCAATATAATGAAGTGACAGCAACATAATGAAACAATCAGCAACAAAATTAAATAATCAGCAATATAATGAAGTGATCAGCAATGTAATGACGACACCATGAACACATTGAAGTAATTTACAATATGATGAAGTCATCAGCAATATAAAGAAGATATTAGCCACATACTGAAGTGGTCAGCAACACAATGAAATAATCAGCCACAGAATGAAGTGATCTGCAACATAATGAAGACATCAGCAACATAATGAAAACACCGGCAACATAATGAAGACAGTAGCAACATAATGAAAACACCGGCAACATAATGAAGTAATTCAGAATTCGATGGAAACATCAGCAACATAATGAAAACATTAGCAACAAAATGAAGATAGAAGCAACACAATGAATACAGTAGCAACATAATGAAAATAGTAGCAACATAATGAAGACAGTAGCAACATAATAAAGACAGTAGCAACAAAATGAAGACAGTAGCAACACAATGACGACAGTAGCAACATAATGAAGACAGTAGCAACATAATGAAGACAGTAGCAACATAATAAAGACCGTAGCAACATAATAAGGATAGTAGCAACATAATGAAGATAGTTCCAACATAATGAAAACAGTAGCAACACAATAAAGAAAGTAGCAAAACAATGAAGACAGTAGTGCCTTAATAAAGACAGTAGCAACATAATGAAGTAATTTACAATGCGATGAAAAGATCAGCAACATAATGAAGACAGTAGCAACATAATGAGGACAGTAGCAACATAATAAAGACAGTAGCAACATAATGAAGTCAGTAACAACAAAATAAAGACAATGGCAACATAGTAAAGATAGTAGTAACATAATAGAGACAGTGGCAACATAAAGAAGGCAGAAGCAACATAATAAAGGCAGTAGCAACATAATGAGGACAATCGCAACATAATGAAGACAACAGCAACATAATGAAGACAGTAGCAACATAATGAAGACAGTAGCAACGTAATGAAGACATTAGCAACATAGTGAAGACAGTAGCAACATAATGAAGACACTAGTAACATAATGAAGACTGTGGCAACATAATGAATACAGTAGCAACATAATGAAGACAGTAGCAGCATGATGAAGGCATCAGCAGTACAAAAGCTCCTTTTTTAACAGATAAAAAGAAGTGCCAACATAATGAAGACAGTAGCAACGTAATGAAGACAGTAGCAACATAATGAAGACAGTTAAAACACAATGAAGACAGTAGCAACATAATGAAGACAGTAACAACATAATGAAGACAGTAGCAACATAGGGAAGACTGTAGCAACACAGTGAAGACATTAGCAACATAGTGAAGACAGTAGCAAAATAATGAAGACAGTAGCAACATAGGGAAGACCGTAGCAACATAATGAAGATATTGGAAACATAATGAAGACTGTAGCAACATAATGAAGACAGTAGCAACATAATGAAGACAGTAGCAGCATGATGAAGGCATCAAGAGTACAAAAGCTACTTTTTCAAGAGATAAAAAGAAGTAGCAAAGTAATGAAGACAGTAGCAACATAATGAAGACGAAACATAATAAAGACAGTGGCAACATAATGAAGACAGTAGCAACACAATCAAGACAGTAGCAACATAATGAAGTCATCAACAGGATAATAATGATATCAACGACAAAATTAGGGCATCAGCAACAGAGTGAAGTCATCAATAGGATAATAATGATATCAACGACATAATGAAAGCATCGGAAAAACAGTCAAGTCATCAATAGGATAATAATGATATCAACGACATAATGAAAACATCAGAAAAACAGTCAAGTCATCAACAGGATAATAATGATTTCAACGACATAATGAAGGCATCAGCAACATAATTAAGACAGCAGTAACACAGTGAAGTCATCAACAGGATAATAATGATATCAACGACATAATAAAGACATCAGCCACATAATGACATCAGCAGTACAAAAGCTACTTTTATTAACAGATAAAAAGAAGTAGCAAAGTAATGAAGACAGTAGCGACATAATGAAGACAGTTGAAGCATAATAAAGACAGTAGCAACACAATGAAGACAGTAGCAACATAATGAAGACAGTAGCAACATAGGGAAGACTGTAGCAACATAGTGAAGACAGTAGCAACATAATGAAGACAGTAGCAACATAATGAAGACAGTAGCAACATAATGAAGACAGTACCAGCATGATGAAGGCATCAGCAGTACAAAAGCTACTTTTTTCAACAGATAAAAAGAACCCTCCCCCCCCCCCGCCCCTTCTCTCCCAGTATCGTCATTATCACATTGTTAGTCACTTTAACATTTTCATTATTTCACGACGTTATCTTTTTGAGATTATGAAATAAAATTAACACATTTAATTTTTTATCATCGTCATCATCAATATCATCATTATCATCTTCATCAACATCATCATCATCATCATCATTGTCAGTCTCCTCCTCCTCGTATTATTTTGTATCATCATCATCATACTCATCACCATTATTATAATCACCATCATCATCATTCTTTTTGTCAGCAGTTTGATCATCATCTTTATTATCATCATAATCACCATTATCATCATGAACATCTTCATCATTTTCATCATCATCTTCTTCTTCATCATATTTATCACCATATCCATCATCACCATCATCATCATTACCACCACCACCATCATTATCAGCATCATCATCTTTATCATCATCATCATCATCACCATCATCATCATCATCATCATCACTATCCTGATCATGATCAGCATAGTTATCACAATCACATTCATGCTCCTAATCCTTCGCACTCAATTTTTTCTCTTCTCCCTCGTATTCGCCTCCTCCTGATCAACTTCATCATTAGTATTATCCTTAACATAGGCGTAACAATCCTCACCACATGCGTCATCTATGTAATCATCATTTTCGCCACAACATTGCCATATTTAATAGGTCAGTTAACGGTTTAAACACTACAATAACACACCATCCCTTGATTCTGCTACCATTTGCGTCACCCAGCAGAACGTAAAAACAACTGGTGAAATTGCGACAATTTACTGACTGACTAAACTTTACCCTACTAGAACATCAAGCTAAATATATGCCCCGGCTATATTCAGGGCCCCCAACAGAAGCCAGGATGGGGCTTCAAAAAACGAAAAATTGCATCCCACATGGAAATGAATAATAACAAAATTGCAACAATTATGTAGATCGTTCCTGGATAAGTATCCAGCGGGTCAGAAACGTTCATGATCACAGATTACCCTAGGATACACTGTAAGCCGTCCTCTCATCTCTGCAGTATGGTTACAAAGCAATTGTCATAATGTCACCACAGGGTGTAAGTGTGATTCTCAGTGGCATTCAACACTCGCTCTAATATGTTTATGTTAGAAGGGCATTACCCACAATGTTTGAATGGGTTATTTGTGACCCAGATTGTAAATAGGTTTGG